TTTTTGAAGTGATCAATTGTTGCCTCTATTTGCTCTCTTAATTCATTCTTTGCTCCAGAGATCATTTTAATTATGTGCACTCTGAACTCTTTCTCTGACATTTCATCTACTGTGCTGTCAATGGAATCTGTTATTGTATCAGCTTGGTTTGTCTGAGGCACTTTCTTCCCTTGTTTATTCATGTTGCCCATGGGTCTTCCTCTCTAGCAGTGTGGATTTGAGGTATTACAGTTTCTACCTTAAAATCTTATAGTGTCCCTGCAGATTACCGATACCTTGCCTGCAAGAATCTGGATGATGATCTTGTAGGTCCTGGCTATTGTCACTATATGGAACCCAGCAGGGAAAGCCACCCCACGTGTGAGTAGATGGGGCTGCAGCATGGTTGCTCTCCCCCTACTGTGTGGGCCAGGGTCACTCTCCTCCTACCACATGGTGGGCCAGGATCATGGTCACCTGCTTTTCCTCCTTCCTTGTGGCAGATCAGGGTCACGGTCATCTCCAATCTCCATTTAAATCCAGAGCTCAGTAAACAGCTTATCACCCAGTTGAGACTATCATGATTGCCCTTGTTCCTCTCTCTCTCCTTCATGACTTAATCTAGTCAAACATCAAGTTCCATTCCATTTTCTTCTTAGATATTTCTTCAACCCAACTCCACTGCCACAGCCCTCATTTAGAATTCATTTATGCTTTCTTTGTTCCAGAACCTGCTTCTCTCCAGGACATTCCTTCCATGTTGGCCTAAGTGGTCTTTTCAAAATTCACCTGATTCAGTTAATTTCTCAACTTTTATGATAGAGTCCCAAATCCTTAATAGCTTGTTGGAACCTCTACAGCCTGGTCTTCTAGCATTCTCTGCTGACTCTTCACTCCCAGCTGCCTGCACCCCAACCATGCTAGACCTCTTTCAGTTATTCAAACATTCCCTGCCCCCTCCTACCTCTATGTCTTTACATAAGCTATCCCCCTGCCTAGAATGCCCTTCTTATCTCTTCATTCTGCTAATACCTGTTCATCCATCAGTGCTCAACTTTACAGGACACTGACCCAGAGAAGCTTCCTTGGTTTTCTAGAATAGGTGATGTTAACCTTCTGTGTGCTCCCATAGCACCCTGTACTTTTTTTCACTACTGAATTTAATTATTCATAGTTATTTGTTTAATGTTGTCTCCTTCATTAGAATGCATCTTCCATGAGAATGTTAATGTATCTACATCTCTTGTGACTGGATATTCAGCACCTTGCCAATGCCTGACACATAGTCAAGTCTCAATAAATAGCTTTTGACTAGATAACTGAATCACAGCTCTTCCTGGTTGAGTATTCCTGTTTGATGTACAGCAGAAGCCTAAGAACTAATTGTCCATTGTATCTATGCTTTCTGTAAGTCCTCTGACCTTTATTTTCCATTCCACAAGGATTATTATGTATAATATATGACACTCATCCTCTTCTTTCTCTTCTCAGTCTTGTGTCACAAGTTGATGTATTTTACTGGGTGAGGCCCAGGCAATTTCCCTGTTTATAGCTCTAACCTTTCTGTGTGCAAACATATAGTGAACTTTGGTTCATCTCCTACCATAATGCAGCTGCTAATTGCTGGTAGGCAGGCTGTGTCCCATGGCCCATGTGACCAGTGGGGCATGACCAGAAAGGAGTGTGGAGAGGAGTGGACACAGCAAGTCAGCTAGAGGCTATCCAGCCAGAGTTCCCACGTCCCTGGAAGCCAGAACAAAGCAAGTGAGTGTGGGGAGTACGGATTGGAAGTCATGAAGACACCACTGCTGGGTTTGGCTTTGTGTTCACTGTTGTTCCAGCCTTGGCTGATGTTGTGGGCCTCCCAGTTCAGTCAAAACTGCCATAATGACAGATATGAGATCAGCGTCCTGATGATGAACAACTCGGCCTTCCCAGAGCCCCTGGATAAGTTGAGAGAAGCTGTGAATGAGGGATTGGACATAGTGAGAATGCGTCTGCACGAAGCTGGTAAGAACAGGCTAATAGAATCCTCCTCTGCTACCACCTCTGGCTAAGCATGGACCTTCTGTACTTTGCCTGATGGCTCAACCTTCCCCATCTCTAAACCCCTTTCTGTTTCCAGGCAGTAGATCTTCAATGGGGAGAATTTGAACCTGACCATGTTGTGCTCACTTACCATGCACCTTTTCTGGGGATAGCTTCAAGCCAGGAAAATGTAAAGTGTTCACAGCAGTAAAAAAAAAAAAAACCTGTTAAAACTGGGTTTATTGCCCAGTTCAGGGAGGCATTGTGCTTTCTTCTATAGCAGCTCAAGAGCAGCTCAATCTCAAGTCCTGGGTAATATTTATCCCTTAGAATAAATATTATCCACAGGGTTACCAGTCAAGAAGATAAAATAAGGGAGTAAAAGTCATTCAGGCACCAAATCTATCTCTATCCAGAGAATGATATTATTCTCTGGACTTGTGGATTCTTTACATCACCCCCTGGCTGCAATTATCATATATAGTAGGCAGAATAAACTGGTAATCAAATTCATTATTACAGTTCCTCACTGTATCTTTTAATTATAAAAATAAACTTTATTGCATAAAATATGTAAAATATAAAATAAATTGTTCAGGAAAATTTCTGTTCACTGGAAGTTTTCAGTCTATTTTAATATGCCTCTTTTAAGAATGTGGTTGGTGATCCATATGGCATAGAAACAATTCTGCATACTTCTGTGTCACTTCACATTATTCCATAAGTGACAATTTTCCTATTGCTGTGTGTTCTTCCTAGTTATCATGTGAACACATACACAATATCCCTTAGAATAAATATTACCCAAGTTTTCTGAAATTTTCCTATGGTAGAATATTTTATTCTATTCAATTTCTTGTGATTGTTTTTATAATACTACAATAAATGTTTTCTTGTATATAGTTTTTCTCTATTCCCTGAGACTAAGTTAACAGAAGTAGAATCAATGAGTTGATGAGAATTTGATACATATTAATAGTTATCCGTTTTAAGAACGATACATCTTGATCTTCTCTATTTAAAATCCTATGGGAAAAAAATCTAATGGAAATTAGAGCAACAGTTCAGATATGTATAACTTACTTCTGTGTATTTACAATATTTCTCAATTCTTTCTGAAACTATATTCAGATGTAAACGAATGGATTTGATCTAGAGCTACACTGGAATTAAGAGGTTATTTAATAAAAGCCCCTTTTTTACTGAGACAGTGTGAGATAGTGAAAAGAACACTGGATTTGAAGTCTGAGAATCTGAATTGAGGTCTCTGCCCACAACTCTTGTGTTTTTCTGTGACCCTGGGTGAGTGAGGTTCCTCAGGCTCTCTGAGCCCTGGTTTCCTTGTTCATTATGTACTGGCCATGTGTTACATAAGTTCTAAGTACTTTCATTACATAATTTCTTTAATTGCCACAGCTCTGTGGGGTTGTATAATTGACACTGGTTTCAGAGCAGAAGTCATAACTTTGTTAAGGCCCTACAGGTTGCCTGTTTCAAATGGATCCAGATCCATTTCTGTCTGGTTCTGATGAGTGTATCATATTGCCACTGTAAGATCTTTACGCAGGATGAACTAAGATCTTTATTAGAAGCGGAGACTTGGAATCTGACAGATCTTGGTTCATATTCTTGACCAACCACTTACAGCCAATATAACCTCAAGCAAATTACTTACATTTTCTGAACTTCAGTTTCCTTATCCCTAAAATCAGGATAAGTGGTAGTTACAGTTTATGGGTAGAGTGTGGACTCGCTGAGGAAATGCATGTAAGTCCCTTTATTGGGTAAGTACTCAATAAACGGCAGTTGTTGTTGCTGTTGCTGGGCCGTTATTTCTATTTGGAGAAAAACATGCCTGGCATATAAAATAAATAGTGCAGGGTACAGGTTAAAATCTTGATCTCCAAATTCAAACAGCCTGGATTTGAATTCCTGCTCCACCATTTACTACTTGAATCGGAGTGGATGAATTATTGTTTTGAAATTTCACTCATCTGATTGGTAATACAGAGTTACTAACGGTGAGGTTGTTGAATGGATTAAGTAAGCGGAGAGTTCTATAGAATTCTCACTCAGATTGTTTTCCCCCCCTTCAATAATGCATTTTGTTGGATAGATATTCATGAAAAGTAAACAAAAGAGAAGCAGGTTTTAGAGAGAAGATAGTTCATGTTCTACATATACTGAGCATTGCTATTTGGAAAAAAATTTTAAAACAATATATCTGAGACTTAAATAAAATTAAGAGTTTAAAGTTCATACTTGTTTGTTGTTGGAAAAATGTTCAGTCTTTTTTTTTTTTGAGAAATCATGTGGAGAGATAAAATAGGCAAAGGTAGCATATTATAGTATATTCCACTGGAGTGAATCTAAAATGTTAAAACATTCTGGTCTTAAGACCTTTTATACTCTTAAAAAGAATCAAGGGAAAAATTGATGGTCTTGAAGAGTTTTGTTTATTGTGGTTTATTTGTTTATTGATATTTATTAGATTGGAAATTAAAGCTGAGAAATGTTTAAAACATTTGCTTATAAATTCACTAAAAATAACAAACATTTTATCTGTTAATGTTTCTAAGGAAAAAATCTCAAGCCAAAACAAAGCGGGTGAGAAGAGTGGTACTGATTCGCATATTGAGAATGTCTTTAATATTAAATTTAATGAAAGAGCTAAATTCTCATACTGGCTCTATATTCAATCTGTTACAATATAACATATATCATGTACCTCCAGAAAATTCCATGATATACTCATGAAAGAGAGTAGAAAAAACAAAGAATGTCAGTGCAATTATGAAAATAGCTTTGACTTCATGGACCTCCTGAAAGGGACTCAGGATAAATTCTAGAATCAGACTGCCCTAGGCTCACATCCCAGTTCCACTGCTTACTAGCTCTGTAATGTTAAGGAAATCAACTTTCTCTGTGACATCATTTTCTCATTTAAAAATTAGGGCAAATATTAGTTCTCTTGCAGTTTTCAGAAAAGAATTAAGTAAAATGATGCACGTAAAAATTCATATCCCAATGCCAGGCATATTGCGACAGAGATGCTTCAGTCTATTATAACAACACGTGGAAGAGGAACTGGGGCCCCTGTGGTGAAGTCACTTGTCCAAGGTCACATTCAACTCACAAGGGTTCCTTTTTCCCAAGCTCTGTTCAGGGTTTAACACTTGGGTTTTATTGTGCCACTCACGAACTACCTGGAGCCTACGATTTTTAAATGGGTCATTTTCAATGTACCGCATGGAGGTAGGAGAGCAGAACTCTCATAGAGACAGGAGAAGTCAAGGGAGGAGTTAGCTTTCACATTAATAGGGGTGAGTTCTGCCATCTTCCTGAAGCCCAGGTTCTATCAGGCGCCTGCACACTGCCTCCTGGTCAGCCTGATGACTCCTGCTGTTTCCCAAGACCTTCTCCTGCCCTCTTTTCTACCATTCCTCACCTGCACCCACCCAGCACCCCAGCCTCCTGTTCTCCTGGCTTCAACGCCCTATATTCTCCCTATTGTGAGAATTAGCTGGAATAAACATTATAAAATGCTTAGTCCTGTGGTTGGTTCATGGCCATACTCAAGTGTTAATTATTATTAAACCCATCACTCACCTCACCTCTTCCACCGATTTTCTCTGACAAGTCTAATCTTATTAACCTCTTCTCTTATCCTAGCAAAGTCCTAGCAAAGAACT